AAAGACAAATATATACCGTTCGTATGTAATATCTTTAGCTAAGTTAAAAAGATCAACGTCTTTGGTAACATAAAACTTGAATCTCACACATCACCGCGCCAGAAAGTCTCAAACCGCACTCAACCACCCGTCTCTGCTTCGCGATAAAGCGAGTCACTTTGCATTTACCATCGCCATTCTCCTCCAACATTTCTCTCGATAAGAAACCTTCAGACGGTGGTGCTGTGTACAAATTGCTTCCCTTTTTTGTAATAAAGATAAATGACGCAAATTCCGACTTCATTTTTTTCAAGCGGCGACGATCTATCAAGTATTACCCGAGGGAAGATCCGCACGTGTCGAATTTAATCACTTAGGTGGTTCGGTTTGGACGCAGCCTTCTAAAGCAGTGGTGGTCTCGAAGGGACTTAGAAGATAATAAAGATAATTAGAGGGTGGCTTTTTTCAAGGATGAGATCAGCTTTTTGTGAGCTGTCGGGATTCTTTCTTGGCACAGCCAAAAATCACAAATACCGAAGTACTGTAAGCAATGGAACATGAGCATTCAGGGGAAAGGGCTTTAGGAATGACGCGCCTACCCTTACCCCCCCCCCCCCCCCCCGCCTCCCTCTCTACGGTCTAAGACGCCTTCCTTATATAAAACAACCTTATGGAATCGGCTAAATCAAAATAAATATCTCAAAATCACTTTGCCACGTCGACCCATTTTGAATAGCATGACATCAAACAAACAATAGCATCTCCGACGGTTAATCGAAGCGTTTATACAGGGTGTTTTAGTTTATTGTTGCATAACTTTGAGATTCGATAGAACTTTTAAAATTAATGTATAAAGTCTATATAAACATGGGTCGAAAAATGCGTGGCTTCCGAAAAACAGGGTGCTTAAATTTACTTTCTAAAATAGTTTTTTTTTAATATTTCGAACAATATTTGATGTATAACAGTGAAAATTGGTATACAAGGGTTTTTTGGTACGACAAAACGAACCATGGGCATAGTTTTACTGTAGCCGCTAGAAGGCTACTGTACCTGTAGTGTATTAAGATGACCGAAAATTTTTTCTTAGTGCAATTTTTTGCTTTTTAAATAAAAAAAACTGATTCTTCGCACTTTTCAACATAAAAAAGCTCTCTTGTGAATTTTCGTTATAGTTAGCCGTTTTTGAGATATTTCGATTTTTAAGGTTCGATGCATTTTTAATTATTTATGATAAAATAACGTTAAAAAGTCCAAATATTTTTGAAATTGAAAGCAGAATAAGGTTAAACGTCAATTAGTTGACAGTTAGTTTTGTTGTCTGTTGAAACCTGAAACGTTTTTTTTTAATTGTGAATGCATGAAATTTAGTTTCTTTTACCTGTTTTTTTTTTGTAAGTTTTATAAAAATGCCATTTTTATTCTCCAATCAATAGTTAGCGGATATTCATTTTGTGTATTGCTTTGTAAATGGAAACGCAGCAGAAGCAGCCAGAGAATACGCACGAAGATTTCCAAACAGACGACATCCAACTCGCTCAGTGCTTGTAAGAGTGCATCGCCAAATAATTGAAAATGGTTTTGGAAATCTCCAAAGGGATCAAAACATAAATGTTCGTCAGCGCAGATTTACCCGTATGATTCTGCGATCCGACCACAAGTGTTTCTGGTGCCTTGGGAATTTCAGCAAGCCATGTTCACCGTGTTCTTAGAAATGACCATAGACGTCCTTACCATTTGCAGCCTGTGCAAGGACTACAGCCTGGGGACGGAGAACGAAGAATCACATTTTGTCAGTGGATTCTTGATAGAACTGATAATAATAGGGAGTTTTTAAGTAACGTTTTATGGACCGATGAGTCATGCTTCACTAGACGTGGAGTGGTAAATTTTCATAATCAACATATTTGGTCGCATGAAAATCCGCATGCAGTTCGGGAAAGAAATTTTCAGCACGAATTTAGTGTGAACGTGTGGATTGGTATCTACCGTAATCGACGATTTGGACCATACCTTTGCCTGCAAGGTAAAGTGCTGCGACATTCTTGGAATTTTTAAAGGCTGAACATGCAAATATGTGGGGTAATGTTATGTTAGATTTAAGAAGATTGGCCTGGTTCCAGCCTGATGGTTGTCCAGCTCATTATTCGAGAATAGTTAGAAACTGGCTGGACGAAAACTATCCAGAAAGATGGATCGGCCGTGGAGGACCAGTCGCCTGGCCTCCACGATCCCCTGACCTAAATCCATTAGATTTCTTTGTGTGGGGATTTCTAAAAGAAAAAGTGTACCGGACTCCCGTAACCACAAGAGATATGCTAATAGACATAATCAGGAATACATGTGATGAAATAAGGCCTTATTTGAATAATGCTATACCACGTTCGATCATTCGTAGATGTGAATTGTGTATTGAACAATTGGGTTTACATTTCGAGTAACTACTTTAGATTTTGTATGTTTGTCCTAACTAGCCAATAGCATTTTAGTTGTAAATAATTGATTTAATTTGTTAAAAATATTGGAAAATTAAACAAATTAATATTCTGTTTTTTTGTGTTTATTTGGAGTTAGGAATTATTGCTGTGTTTAAAAACACAATCTAAACGATCATCTTAATTACTTGTAATGCGCAAATCGAAAATGTAAAAAAAATATAATTTTCCAATAAATAATTAAATATAAATAAATGCATCGAACTTTAAAAATCGAAATATCTCAAAAACGGCTAACTATAACGAAAACTCACAGGACAGCTTTTTTATGTTGAAAAGTGCGAAGAATCAGTTTTTTTATTCAAAATCAAAAAATTGCACTAAGAAAAAATTTTCGGTCATTTTAATACTGTACCTGTACAGTAGAGAGCGCCCTCTAGCGGCTACAGTAAAACTATGCCCATGGTTCGTTTTGTCGTACCAAAAAACCTTTGTATACCAATTTTCACTATTATACATCAAATATTGTTCGAAATATTTAAAAAAAAAACTATTTTAGAAAGTAAATTTAAACACCCTGTATTTCGGAAGCCACGCATTTTTCGACCCATGTTTATATAGACTGTATGCATTAATTTTAAAAGTTCTATCAAATGTTAAAGTTATGTAACAATAATCTGAAACACCCTGTATATCAATCAGATTGCTGGCAGCGATCTTTTTACAAATTTTTGTATTCTGGTTGTCATTAAGTGCAAAAGTGCAAACCATTAAGCTTATAGAACTAATCAGAACTTATCCCGGATACGCCAGTAATTGTAACTAGGAGTTAGAGAGAATCGGAAATGCTTGATCTTGGTAGGCCTAAAGAATTACTATATCATGAAGATGAGCCCAAAGGAGCAAATTATTGTAGCATAATGATAGAATATCGCAAGATCACTCACCGCTCGCCGAAGAATAAGCGCTTGAGATTGGTAGTGACACCTTTTAGTCACCTTCCGCATTAAGTCTAAGTTGAAATAAATGAAAGCAAGTGAATAAGTCATGTCATAAGCCTCATACGTTACACAGCAGACAATGAAACCTGTGTCATTGACAAATATACCAGTTTTTAAAAACCTTTTTGGACTCATTACAGTATTTGAGTTTTTTAACAAAATATGGTAACAATAGTGATCTAAATATAAAGTTAAATCTCTTGAGCAGCTTTGTGTATTTCTCCTAAAACTCACGTTTGCAGTTACGGCGATATTGAATTGGAGGGGATTTTGTTTTAGCATGAAATACAGAATAATACTGACTTATTAACATGTCACAAAGCATATATAAAAAAAATAAAAAATACAAATGTAAAATGATATGTTACAAATAAATTATCAAAAATTGAACAAGGGTACCAGCCAAAATTAAATTTTGTTGTACATGTATGTATACAATATTAAAAACTGTTAAAATGACAAATACAAATTCATTATGTTAAAATTAACTTAAAATGTTATTAAAATAAAATGATAGATCTCACATGTTAAAATAAAAACTATACAAACATCTGCCCAGCAAAAACTTTTTCACCGCTCTTTTGAACCTAAAAGTTTTAACAGCCATGTATAATGGAGCCTTCTTAAAAAATGTGGACAAATGGACAAATGGACTCAGTTCATCCTTCTTCAATAATCGGCAATCGACTGTAGAAGAACCCAAGTGCTTACAACTACCAAACAGCAGGATACATTTTTACCAAAGAAAAAACGATTTTTCAATATAAATCTATACAGACAAAAATATTGTGCGACTTTATATGTCATATAAATGAGAAAGACTGAGTCAATGATTTTGGCAGAAAACAAGAAAACGATTTCGGGCAAAGCGGAAAAAGTAGATAGTGCATTCGCCTGTGACATTATTTTTGTAGTTAGTGTACATAAATATAAAAAGAAATCAAATCAAGAATGCTGGTACTGTTTTCTCAATGATCCATTCCCCACCGTCGAGTACATATAAAAACAAAAAGTCAACTGACTTATGTTCTGGCTATACCATCTACTGAACTCTCCAAAGTCTCCGCTACTGGATCTCACCGTCGATATTTTATGTGACCTTTCTTCATTGTGTTGGGAGGTATTAAAAGTAAATAAAGAGGATGACTGATGAAATGCATCAAAGATGATTAAAAAAGCCCCTACAAAGGATCCGAAACTCCTTTGTTGACGGCTCTTTGTACTTGGATGAATTCTGCTTCCTTTGAAAGGGCATCCTGGAGGTGCAAGTGAGTAGACAAACAGAATGTATACAATAGGGCTACAAAGATGCGTTTGGTATTTTCGTGCATTGTTGTCATTTAAGCTAGAATTGAATTAAACTGGTTAGACAGCACAAGCTGCTCTACTGTATAATGAGTATTACATAATGTTGTCAAAAAAGAAATTGAAATGCAGATTCAGTAAGTTGAAACATGATCGCTTGGTGCTTTCCGTTTTTATTTTCTAGTTTTTGACGAAAATACCTAATCAGATTTCGATTTCATCCGAGTCTACTAAAACCATTCTTCTATTATTATACGTCTGCGCGGCGAAATTGAATGTTTTTTCTACCACAATAACACAAAAAGTTACTAGGGTTTAGTATTTAAATGATGCGTGTTTATATATATATATATATATATATTTTGCTTTAGGACCAAGCCATGCAGCCAGAAACTAGGTTGGTATTTTTATATATCTAATTATGGACAAACACACGACGTCACAACATCCGTGGCGAAGGCGAGATTCGAACTCGCGGCCCGGCCGGCCGGCCGGCTGATCAGTAGCACGACACTCTGACCCACGCGGCCAACCGAGGTCCCAATTTATATTATTATTGATTATTATGCAATCATGAGAATGTATTTCATTTTTACCTATGATGTAATAGATGTATGTTATACAGAAAGGATGTCTGATATCTAAACTCACCACCTTTCAAACCACCATACTCTGCTACATGTTTGGATGCAATTTAATACCTGTAACAAAATATTTTAATGTTAAAAAATGAATGATTCCATAATAATGAAATTCCATACTCAACGAGCCCAATAAAAAAAACTAGTGAATCAGTGTCTGTGTATATACCAGTATGAATATGACTTCCCATGTTTATAGTCATCAGTTAAAATAGCTATATGAGAATACATTTACAATACACATACATACTTGCTTTATTTTTTGCGTACATTATGCTACTGACTTATGAATTACCTCCACAACCTTCAATAAGCTCCTGATTGCGAAAGCTTCGAAAAATAAATCAATAGGATTCTTTGACTTTCATCTGATTCCGATCATTTTTGTATTCAACGGCACTCGCACTCCATTATCATCTTCTTTATATTTCCAGCATAACAAATCAGGGCAAGAGTTTAAGGAGAACGGCAGATCTATTGATCAGTATACTAATAATCCGGTAAGTACGTAAACGTACGATGAGAAATGCTAAGTCGTATGAAAGGAAAATCAGTTTATTTTTGTTGATATGCGTGCTTCACGACATGAGCCGGAACTAACGACAGCAAAGGCACAATGGTGCAATATTACATTTTGGTGGGATATCAAAGACGTACATAGATCGCGTTTGACATTCCTACGCGATAATGGATATCCTTCATTCAAAATGTCAAAATTTCACCGATACCAAAGATTCAACACTTACAACTCCAAGTACCCAGCTTTCTAGAACGTCGACATATACTAAGTGACATATAAATCCGAACACCCAGTTTAAATGGTTTTATTTTAATAAAAGTTGGTGAATGTATTTATCTTACTGTAAATAACAAGTGACAAAATTTTCAGCCTTATCAGTTGGACATTCCGGTTTTTATACTGCTTTTTTTTAATTCACTAACGCTCTAAAAATGAATATTTCAGCCGCAGTAAAGAATCAACGTTGGAGGATTTTGGTTCTTGACATCCTTTACGATCGGTTACGATGCCTGGAGTACGGAGACCTGTACGATTTCTCCAACTTAGTGAGTTTGATAGGGGCCGTATAGTGGGACTTCGGGAAGCTGGACTTTCTTTTCGGGCAATTGCAGTTAGAGTGCAAAGAAGTGTAGACACTGTGGTTAGGTGTTGTCAGGCATGGCTTCGAGAAGGCCGTACGCAAAGAGCAAGGGGCACTGGACGCCGCCGTAGAACAACAGACCGTGAAGATCGCCGCCTAAGGGTACGAACATAGTGGAGCGACGAGGTTTCAGATTCAGATAGAGGCTAACCGCGCGGTTTGCCGCTATGTGAGTCAAAAACACAGGTTGAAACCTGTCGGGCCATAGTAGCGCGATAAGGCATGCGTCGAGTCTCTAGGAGGTTTCGAGCGACGAGTTTTAAATAGTTGCATTCAATTTTTGTCACGCGTTTTCAAGCGATTTAATAATGGATGTTGTGCAATTAATAAATAGTGTATATCACAGAAGGGCTATATGGGATCAGAGTCATCCAGATCATCGCAACCGATACGTGCTAGATAAGTTATGGGAGGAGGTAGCCAATGAATGCAATAATCAGTCGGGTAAGTAAATAATTGTATTTTATACACATTTCAACAGCTAGAACTTACATCTTGCGGTAAAATTTTAAGCTGTCTCGTAACTGATTGGAAAGAAATTAACATAGTTACAGAAAATGTCGCGAACTCTTTGACCTTCACCCAGTTGCCTTCCTCTAGGTAATTCAAACATCTGATCTCTAGGAACTGCATCAGTTACTAATGTTAAATGTCGTTGAAATCCCTCTCGGTCCAGTATTGTATTATGCAAAATGCATATCGCCTTAATGATATCATCCGCAGTCTTTTCAGTAGTCTCTATAGCTTTGGACAGAAGACGCCACTTCGCGTACATAATTCCAAAGGTGCACTCGATAGTTTTGCGTGCTCTGGACAATCTTTGGTTAAAATTTATATGTTCCAAAGAGCGGTTCCTTCGATTGTATGGTTTTAGCAAATTGGGCATTAGTGGATACGCTTCATCTGCAATAAATACGTAGGGAGCGCGGACATTTGTTCCTGGTAAACTATCTGGATTTGGCACATTTAGTTTGTTTTGGTGTATCCGTTTGTACAAATTGGAACTCTGAAACGTTCCCCCATCGCTCTGTTTGCCGTAACCTCCGACATCTATCACAAGCAATTTGTAATTTGCGTCGCAAACTCCTTGTAGGACGATAGAAAAATAATGCTTATAATTGAAGTACATGGATCCGGAATGTTGTGGTGCTATAACTTTGACGTGTTTGCCGTCAACAGCTCCGATGCAATTGGGGAAGTTCCATACTTTCATGAAGTCTGCACTTACATTTAAAAATGTTGCCGTAGTAGGTTGTGGCATGTGAAGTGGTTGCAGCATGTTCCATAATATTTTAATCATATGTTTTATAATGCTCGCAACAGTACTCCTGCCCATTCGAAAGGAAAATGCCAAGTGTCTAAAGGACGCTCCTGTTGCAAGATATCTGAAAATTTTTGTTTGTTGCAGTTAAGAAAGTTTCTGAGAAGTGGAAAAATCTACGTGATTATTTCAGAAAAGAACTGAAGAAAATACCTCTGCCCCGGTCTGGTGATCCAGGCGAAGAGGCTCTTAAAAAGAGCTCCTGGCCTCATTTCAAAAGTTTATTGTTTCTGAGAGACCAGTTTCTGCCGAGATCCAGTCATAGCAACCTGTTGGATCCCGACAATGACACACAAGTTTCGACACCCTCTACGCAGATGGATGAAAATGATGGTGACTATGACGAAGACGAAATGGACGAAACGCAGGGTGTAGAAACGCAGGAAACAGAACCCGACCACACAGAATCAGTCACTCCAATTCAAAGCACACCAAAAGAACCACGAACTATTCTAAAGAATAGGGCCCGAAAACGGTCAAATCAACTTGACGCTTTTCTTGAGATAGAGAAGAAAAAACTACAATATTTAGATGAGAAACGTGTCGCTGCAGACCGTGGCAGAGCCCTACCAGTCACAGATGACGATAAACTGTTTTTTGATAGCCTTTTGCCCCACGTGGTGAAAATTAGGCCTCATCGAAAACTTCAGTTCCGCAATGAAATTCAAAATTTGGTTCAGAAGTATGCCTATGAAGAGTACTCGAACAATCAGTCCACCATCAATGTCAGTCATTCTGTTAATCATAGCCCGACATATACATCTCAACCACAAACATCGTTTGCACATTCATCCCATTTGTTGCAGGGGTTTAATTACGCAGATCAGTAAACATTATAAGTTATTATAAGTTATCGTTCGTTGTGTTCAGAAGACAGAATATTATTTTGCGTTACCGTTTGTTTGTTTATGAATAATAAAAGTATTATCCTTAATACATAATATTCTCTTACCGAATTGTTACCACCAACATTTCTTCGGTTCCTATAGGCGCTTGATTAAAATTTGTCCATTTCTTGTTGATGCAGGGTGTAACTTGTTCTAATATATACTGAAAGGTGGCAAGTTCCATTCGAATGTAGTCAAATAGCCTGTCGGGATAATTTTTCAGTTCTAGAAATAAATGATGGAATTCCCCTAGGCGTTTCCGACTTTTATTTACGTCGTGCACACTACACTGCCGCACTCCAGTCATTAAAAGCACTTGCAGGTAAGTATTATTGAGAAGAATGTCATCGTCACTGTCGGAATACATATTTTTACGTCTATCTTCGACAAAACGCGACGCTCTACTATAACCATAGGTGCCTCTTGCCTCTACGCTCTAGACGCTACCAGATATCTGAATCTGAAACCTCGTCGCTCCACTATGTTCGTACCGTAAGATTATTGGCCTTAAGGGACCGTTTCTCCACTACCAGGTCCATTGCAAATGAATGGTTTGCAGAACACGGAGACCTATTGGCATGCGAAGTGTTTACCGACGAATGAGAAGTTTTGGCTTGTTTTCATACCGGCCACACTGGGTTCTCCCTTTAACTCGAGAACACCGACGTAATCGCCTTGAGTGGTGCAGACAACGGTCACTCTGGGATCAGGCATGGAACAGTATTGTCTTTAGTGACGAGTCTCGATTTTGTTTAGGCATGCACGATGGTCGTGCCAGGGTTAGAAGGCGACGTGGTGAAAGGAGGAATCCACAGTTTTTTGTTGAAAGACATGTTCATCACACTGTTGGAGTTATGGTTTGGGGTGCTATAGCTTATGGTTCCAGGTCACCTTTAATCTTCATCAGAGGTAACATGAACGCGCAGCGTTATATCCACGAAGTTCTAGAACCCCATCTTTTACCCAATCTTGACACCCTGGCAGATCCAACTTTCCAACAAGATAATGCCCGACCACATGTTGCAAGAGTCACAATAGACTTCTTTGTGTGGGATATGATGGGTAGGAGATTGCTCAATTTGCAACGTCTTCCTCAGACTCTAGAAGCACTTCGAGAGGAGTTGGTGGTTGCCTGGAATGAGATACCACAGGAGGACATTGACCACCTGATCAGAAGCATGCCTAGGCGCGTTGGAGAATGCGTAGCACATCAGGGTGCATCCACACATTATTAAAGGTCAAAGGGCTTTAAAGCAGTGCAATCATTTTGAAATTTTTATAATTTACTTATTATGCTTCATTAAGTACTTATACAAAATTTTATTAAAATAAAACCATTTAAACTGGGTGTTCGGATTTATATGTCACTTAGTATATTTCTGAAAATTTTGAATGGTTTCATTTTTTTTTCGTCTTTTAATCGCCACTAAATCAGTTTTCAAAAAATAAAAAGCCTTTTTCTCCTTGTCACGGTAGTAACCTTGTGTTGAAATTTTTTCAAAATCCGAGAGATACTTTTGGAGTCATAGGGGTTTTAAACGTTAGCAGAGATTTCCGAAACTTCTCAAAATTACGATACTTCCTCGCCAATTAGAGTGAGAGGTAAAAGCTCTAGACAAAATAAAACCTATAACATGCACGGTTGGCTTTCTGTTCATGTCATCATAATAGCATCCATTCATACACTTAATAATTTAGAACTCTTAATCTGGAAAGAAAAGATTCAGGCAACTCGGAAGCACTATTGTAATGTTTTAATAAATTAAAGAGTCTGTGTCTGGATACACCAAATTAAAAGAAAACACTAAAATGTCGTTTTATCTCCTCAACACGGCCAATAAATGTAGCTTCAGATGTTGAGTAATATGAGATTACTAAGGATTCGACTGCCAAAGCAGCCTTTCCGAAACACAAAGCAGATACTAAAGTAAAATTTTTAAGATGAATGCAGGATTGGATTTGTGTAGTTAGAATAGACAATACTGAAGTAATTTTTATATGTAATCATTTTGATTCTTGTGCAGAAAACATTTATGCATTATAATCAAGAAATAATCACCGCTATTTGTGCTCCGCCAAAAAATTGAATCCAAGTGAAAACCGTGCGCGGAGCTAAACCGAGCGTTCTCGCAATGCAGTCCGGATTAAAATAAATGCTGCTCATGTAGAGCGTAAGCCGATCATTAATCACTTAATGTTATTTCCACAGTAGTTAAGTGAGAGCCCGCGAACGATCGATACTGGGTTGTTGCTCGTAAGCGCGTATTTTTGATTGGAAAACATTTGTCTTCCTTTATTCAGTACACGTCGTGTTCGCGCCGAGATGAGAAGATGTATCATATTTACGGTGGTGAACGAAGTATCTAGGTGTTTCTTTTTAATCTAGGTCTGGTAGTTTTATAATGGAAAAGGCGAGAATGGGATATTCTCGTGTGGTGTCGTAACCGAGGGAGTATATGTGTAGCTTGCTAACAAAATAATCGGTAAACCGGCAGCAGCGGTGGCCGCAGTAGTAGACTTTTCGGTCTCATGATCAGTCGCCGTGCGCTGTGCGGGTTCGAGTCCCGTCCCAGGAGAAATTTTTCTCATGGCTATGGCTGTTGTGATTGTCCGTAGGTGGTAGATGGTCTCTGACTGTCGAACGCGGAGGTACCACCCGGCGGATCTCGTAGGCGGAGCCAGAATGTGTGCATGTTGCATGCACACGTGTTCCCTCGCCAGAGTCCGTGTGGCGTTCCCCCTTTCCCATGTATCCCCCTATAGCCCCACGGTACCCAATGGGTGCTTAGGCATTAGGCCTTCGTGATAGTTCGAGTATAAAAAAAAACCCTTGAAGCTCGATATGTGATGAGCGAAGAGAGCAAGCAGCTCCCAGATTTGCATTAAAGAAGCTCCGGACGATGAAATCCATAAAAGGGAGGTTGAATAGGAGCTGCTCTCTTTCTGTCTCTGTGACCAGGCCAACCGTACGCGAACTCGTTTCATGTTTATTAGCAATTATAAGTACGGTAGACTTTCTTGGAGATAAGCGGATATGGACTTCTGAGAAGCTCATTAAGTAATGCGCAAGGAGTCCCTAGCACCTCTGAAAGATATCCCGATGAATAAACGGAGAACTGCTGCTAGCCAACATAATATACTAGTGACTGGTCAGTCAGAGCGTCCACAGTACTAGAAGCTGTGGTGTACTCTGCAAATGATTTGAAGTGGGAGGAGACGCATATTCATTTAATAGTTAAAAATGTCGACAGTCAAATTTTCATGTTTCCTCTAGCATTCGAAATAGTTTCAATTTGCAAGAGCCATACTTGAGTATGGTCAAGATACTTGAAAGGGTTAAGAGAAGAGCATTTGAATTAAGCCATTTGCGATATGAAACAAGACCCGAAAAGTTCAAGCCTCAAACTTTAACATAAAGAAGATTACCAGGGGAACGTTTAAGATAATAGAAGAACATCATAAGTGCAATATACATCAATATACATTCAATCTATTGACTCACCATCAACTTAGAGGGCATTAAAACAAATTATGTGAGGAAAGGTGCACCAAACTACTAAATATACATATTTTATCAGTCCGAGTGGTTTACAGTTGAAATCGGCTAACCGACAGTGCAATAAATGGTTCATCTATGATAGGACCTGAAAGCTCAGTCGCTTATGGTTGGCGATACTTCTTCGTTTAGAGGTGCTAAAAGGCGTAGGGGCTCCTGCATTACCCACATATGGGTCAGAATATATCAAGCTTTGATTATAATAACCTAAGGCAGCAGTAGACAGCTCGTCATGCATAAAAGACTGTCAGACAATTAATAAACCTGATAAGACAACAGAGTGTTGAAAAAGACTAACTTCACACCTATCTACTATTTACTTTGTATAAAGAACTTCACAGCTATTGGTCATATCGATTTTCAATCTCCACGTTATCGAAACAGAGATTGTGCATTTTTATGTAGATGCATATCCGTATCTTCTCGAGAGTAGCCTCGTCGTGAGGAAGTGCATCTTGGGAAAACGATAGACAAAGCGTTTATATACGGGCAAGTACTCCCAGATGGCGTATATTTCATAAACCAATTTTTTACAGCTTTTCGATTATGATGCCATACTGCAAATATACAGTCCAAAGCAATCCATTTTATAGACATGAATCCTACTATACGATACATGTTAGTAACTTCTAAAACCTTGGATGTATAAAAACCGCAACTTGTGGACTAACGTACACTGAGCTGTAATCGCATTCACCTAGGGAACGATTTTTTTTAAAAATCCAAGGGTCCACAGGTCAAACTCAGACAAAAATAATGAATAGACTTTTTAATGATTGATCCCATCTTGAAAATCATTATTGAGTACAGTTGCTAAATACAGCTTCTCTAAGTTGTATGGTATACACCTATTGTACTGCACTATAAGTCCTTTGAATTCATTTTGAGTTACAAGAAGCATACCGATACAGACCCAAAAGCTTGCAAACTTCAAATGTCATTAGGAAGATTGAAATGATTACAAAAATCGAGTTTATGCTCTAAAGTCAGTCAAAAACTTATACGTATCTTCTTGTAGTATAAGAGGAATAACACAACACAACAAAATCGGAAGAAAGGCGTAAGATAGGCAGTGAGGCCACCGAGAACACACCTAATTTACTGAGGCGACTGTGTTCACTCTATCCATAGCTCGGAAACCTTAGAGACGTTTGTCTTAAACGCCTGTATGCGCCTGCTTTCGTAGGTATGTGTCGCAATTCTTGCTGCAACTTGGACAAAGGTTACTAAGGCTAGAACATAATCTTTTATACTGAAAACCTTTGATTATAATGTAAGTTCT